TTTCTCATTTCCGAGCTTGTTCTGACCGTTAAACTAGAAGAGGGATTTTGTTTCTGTTTGCACACAATTCCGCGACGATACCGCGGATCGATACACACCACTTTCTCTGGCCACTCGTCAGCGTGCTATTTCTATCTCGCTTTTGACATTGAATTCCCGGCTCATACGTTCCCGAGGAACAATAGACGACTTCTACAGGAGCGAGAAATGTGGACGAAACCTAGATACGTGACCCAAAACAAGAGAACAAATAAGATTGTCTATGTAGAACTGTCTACGTGACACCCGGCGAAACCAAGTCAATCTTAATTATTAATTAATATAAATTTAAATAAACGACGAATTAAATTATTTAACTGATACTCACAAATTTATATATAATCTCAATAAGTAGAATTCAAATTTAAATTTATTTCAATCTTGAAAATCAAGATTTAATTCAAATTTAAATTTTCAAAATTTTTATATAATTAATAAATATTTGAGTTTTTTATTACTAAAGTTATTTTAAAATAAACAGAGCCAAATTTTGGCTCTCTTATCTCAAAGATAAATCTGATAAGTTTCACGAGTCTAGTTATTCCTTACATTTATTGAAAATGTAGAAGAATTCTGTTTCCGCATTTCCTTATTATTGCACACTTTTGGGAATAATATCCTGGCACTGTTTTTCGAATATATCACGATTGTCGAGCCGCTTAACATTCATCATAGACGGTCGTGTATTTTGCAGATCTCGGAATTGAGATCTCGCAATTGGCGAGCCCGCGAGCGAGTCGGTATCGCTTTTTCCGGGTGGCGATGACATACGGCGTCGTTATGCGCATTTCGAGGCTGCTCCGCCCGTCCTTTCCAGCACTTCCAGCCACAAAATGTTTTCACAAAGTGTACCGGGGAACACAACCAGCCGTATCTCCCGTATTTTGAAACGCTCGCCTGGCTTACAAAAGGCCGCTGGAAAACCAGTGCGGAAAATGTCACGGCCTTGTCTCCTGGAGCTCTCGATACAACGATTATACGCGAATAGTGTATCGACCTGATGATGCACGCACGGCATCTCGTCTGACGCTTTCGAAACCGCAAATGAATTTAACGATAACAAGGTATAACGAGATTTAACGACTGGATCGCGCATAAATCTCTCGATATCGAGATAGCTCCGATAGCTTCGATACACTGCCGGATGTGGAAGCGGCATCGGTAGCGCGAAACGTTAACGGAGAATGCCTGATGGAGGTTTAGATTATTTTTAAGTGGGCGTAATACACAAGGCAGCATCTGCGGTGCAATTTACACGCGTGCAACGGTGTTAGCGAAGCATATCGTTGGAAAGGCCAGCTGCTCTTCCCCTCGAAGTTCCGGATCGGCGTTAAACGTCATTTTTTTCAATGTATGCGAGTATCGAGCAATCGGTCTAACGGTCAAACTCGAAGTTGCAGTATCAATCGGATATAAATGTATCGCCATTTGGCGTTTTAGTGGCTTTTAATAAGATAAATTCTTGCTCTATTTAACTTATCAGCGAGAGTCGGATTAATGTTATCTCTTTAACAAGAATATAATATATAATCCCTGCTACAATCCGTGCTCCACGGCGATCTCTCCAATAAAAAAAAAATTGATAAATTAAAACGTAAGAATTTACGGATGGCAGCTTCGCGTTTCCATTTTTTAATGCGTTGTCGAAATAATACAACGACACGGGAGGAAATGTGCTGAGTCAAAATCGTACGATTGTCAGAACAAAAATTTGCATTTTAATAACCGACTACTTTTCGCAAACGCGTCAGCTAGACATATCGAGCCGCAATGCCGGCGAGTTACGCAAGACCGAAGACTAACGAAAGAGGACAGGGCTTTGAAAACCGGAAGGAAATCATAATTTTCATGTTGCCAAGCGTATACACGTGACCGTGTCGATATCACAAACGCAATTAGAAGGAACGTTAGCATAAAGGTTGGTTACACCACGAAATCTTACGTGACCATCGAATATACGTGCGTTTCCGGCATGCCGTATAAAAAAAAACGCACGAATGAACATCTCGCGTTGAACCAATTTTAACGCCTCGCAATGCGCAACGCGTAATAACAATAATAGATGTACCGTAATCAGCAAGTACACACACAAGCGCGTAGGTGGGAAATGCACCTTGTTGTTTAAAAGCTAGCGGTTTTCCGCACACGTTCTCACACACGTGATCATCCATCTACGGCGTAGAACAAAGTAAGATGCCAGGATAATGCGCAGCGAGAGCACATTTTGCGCTCGATTAGAGGCTAATGCCAAGGTCCTCTTCATCCTCTCGATAAAGGGTGAAATCATCTTTATCGGGGTACAAAAGCGCGTGTTGCATTATCGCGCACGAGTTCAATTCCTTGCGAAATAGACAATGGGAGAGCTTCGTTTCTACGAGCATTAATCAACGGCGCGGTCTCGGCGGAATAAGAGTTTGTTTTTACTGTGCTCGAAATTATTAATGTCCGACTTGAATAGAGCATTAATTGGATGTCGGTCGTTCTAGCCCCGAGACACCCTTGCAATGAGCAAAATAAGAAATCTTGTCTTTTTAAAATTATTAGGTTATATTTTTATTTGACTTGGTATTTAATTAATTTTAATCGTTCCCTCAATTGTATTTTATCACGTTTTAACAAACGTAAAATTTGCCTGCAGATACTAATTAAATTAGTTGTTAGGTGGAATTAACTAATTAAATTCAATTCTAAAGATGCTGACTCGGGGCAGATGTTAAGAACCTCATAAACGTTAAGAAGGAATTAGTCGGATAAAGATATCGCACAATTAATTGCTCGAAACTAACGCCCGAAAAATTCCTTCAAAATTTCCAGTCGTCATCTATGAAAAATGCTAAAAATAACATTGGTCGTAGAATTAGCCGATGATGGTGAAAGCGATTAATGTCGTGATAAAGTTTTAAATTATTTTCCGGTAATAAACCGGTAATAAAGAAAAAATTAAGATAAGGGATAAACGAGAGTTTGGAGCGGATACAATTCTATTTGTTGGATTTTGGCTGTGTCCTGTTGCAGACATGTAAAGTGTCCAATGTAAATTAAACGCGATATGCTTCTCGGTAATCGTCTTAATCTGGCGGCGAAAATTCGTCGAATACACGATAACCGAAAGAACTTTCCATGATGTGCAAACACGCGACATTATTGATCAAAGTGAAACTCAAGATTTAAAGCGAGTTTACTGATTATGCATTAATTACAGGACTGCGAGCAAGCAGATCAGATCGAGAAACTTAACGATCCTGTTTGGCGTTTAATCTCGTGAAAACTTCGCGAAAAGAAATAATTGCAAAAAATATCAATAATCATGAAAAATAATAGTAAACAATACTTCTCCTTTATTAACTTCGTTTACGCCTTTGTTTTTGATAACCGTCTCGATGGATGTTGTAAAAAAATTCGAAAAAATCGTCTGCTACTTTTTGCTTTTATGTCTAGAAAGAGGCGGCGAGCTGATGAAGTCTCACTTAACGTTAACAGAATGTTTACGACCTATAATAAAATACGAAAATCGATAGGTCGCGTGTCGCACACGAATGCGGATGTCCGTGTGGGCTTTATCGGGAAATTGACCGATCTTTGCAGCGACGGCGGCGACGATGACGCCGGAGTCAGGCGACAACGGCGACGGCGACAACGGCGACGGCGACGACAACGGGGCGAGACGAGGGCCACCGTCTAATAGTTCAATTAACTCGAGTCTACAGACTAATATGAATATTTAAGCGATACTGAATCGGGAGCGCAATGAATCCGAATGTGCATCGCTCGCGTGCGCGATCATCAAAACATTTATCCGTGCGTCATATAATAGGTTTATAAATGCATTCCTTATCGCATTCGATAGATAGATGAAGTAAATTCATTCCAATTATCGATGTGCATAAAAGTTGATATTTATAAAATCGAAGCTATCTGAGACGATAAAATTGTTTCAGAAATTTTGATAATTTGGAAATGTAAATTGTAGTGGGAATAAATTTTTTGCGTCTAGAAAAGTTCAGCTCGCCGGCAAGAAGAACAAAAAGCATATTTTTTAAACTAAAATCTAGAATTAGGATAAGTCATAATGTAGTATTATTATAATGATACAGTATTATATCAAAACGCTTCTAAAGCGAATACTTAAAATGATTACATTTATGCGTCATGAGCCTTTCGAATTTCCTTTCTCGCATACAGTTGGTATGCATTTCATGTAATTTATATGCGTTTCTCTTCATAAAAAATAACGTACAGACGTCATAAATACCAATATTGTATCGCGATGTTTGACATGGTATTTTATTGATGCCATTAAACATCAATAAAATCGTTCAATTAAAAGCAATTAATAGCAGTTTGCGCTGAATAAATATGCATTACACTTCAAAGCCATTCTGCCCAATTTCATAGAAAATCGGAGATAAAATCAAAATGTATCTAAACAAATTTAAGCAGCTTATCCAGAGTGTTATATATGTTTGGCAATGTGACTTTTATTAAATGCATATTTTTTTCCGACACGGACATATTTTTCGACACGAACAATATTTTATGGAAATATTTCGCTCCACTTGAGTTGTAACATTTTTGAAAATTTTAACGATAACTCATATTTCCGACATCCGCGAATCTCGATGATTAATTCAAATCTCGTGCGAATTCAAGTCGATGTTCAACAACAGCTGATTACATGACAAACAAATATTGCATGCACTAACCATGAATCGTCGCGCTGATCATACAGTTTAAAATCTATTGATAATAAAATAAAAACAGATGAAAAACAGAACAAAAGCATTCGGTAACCTTGTCGATCGGCCGCGAACTAAGCAATGCTCCGCTCAAAAAACAACACACACGAGAAAAAAAAAATACACCCGCTTAAAAACGCGTGCATGGGAACTCGCGTGCTATCGCACGCGACGAAAAATATGCGCGTGTCGATAAGGCGCTTACTCTGGACGACAGGTACTCACAATTGATGCTGCAGCGTCAGCATAGCGGCGGTTTCGAAAGAAGGGACGCGTGCGATCGCGCGGGGACAACACCGCGAGGATCACTCATTCATTCGCGTCCAGGATCCTGACCGACAGCGGGATGTAGCAGCCACGGGCGATGAAAGGCCGGCGACGACAATGACGACGATGACGACGACGTATGTGCGTTTAAAACTGCATCCGGCACTCCACTGCTGGCCGCCTGGCTCGCACTTGTGTACTTACGTACGTGTGAGCTACGCGAGAGGCACCAACGACGACACTCCCGCGAACGGGAGTACGGACGTTGCTCGCGATCGCGCTCACGTTCGATACGCCGCCGTGGCTCGCTTTGACATAATATATCCGCTGGCTGACCCCACAGGTCCCTGCGACTGCCTGTGGCTGCCCGCTCACGTCGATTCGTTCGCTCGATCACGACACGAAGCAACGGCTTGCCGCGGCCGACTGGAAGGGGAACGTACACTCGACGCCTTCCCGTCTGAAGGCGCTCAATGACGGTCTTGCCGGTGAGCTCCGATAACTTATAGCGGATCGGTCGTCGGCGCTGCTCCGCACTGCTGCGCGCTAAAGGCTGCTATACATGAAGTTATCCGAGCGCAATAGCATAACCTGAGCGCTTTGTCCGATAAAATATCCATCCCGCATGTATGACCTGCAAAATAACATTATTTATTTCACAGTATTATCAGTCTCAAAGAATTTCTTACTTCTATTTTTAATCTTCTTGCCGGATTTTATATTGATTTTATTCAGTCAAACTTCATAAAATCACGAAAAATCAACTGATATGCAAAGTGTCACAATGACGTTTTCCTCTGTGAACATGTTTCTGCAGTTATGCAACTTTGTTTGAATAAATGTTTATAATTGGAATGATTATCTTGTGATTTCGCGATAAGCCCTAAAATAATGTTGGTAATCAAATGCTTGTCTAGTTTCGCCATTATTCAGATTGTTTACTATGTGTTTTTCACAGATTGTAAGGTTAATTCTATTTAACGAAGCCCAAGAAACTACATATATATTTTTCTGCAAGTTTTAATAAATGCTATATTTTATATGGTGAAACGCAATAGTCAACATGGAAAACGATAATCCTATAATATACGGACTCGAGTTCCAAGTATGTAGTAGTTATGAATTCTAAGTAAATTTAGGTCCTTTATTTTAATTATCTTATGCCTTTGTTAAATAATACAGTCTACTATCGTTATTTAATCGATATGAATAAGTATTACTACAATAAAAATTTTCTTCAATAAATTATACATAAGATACGTAATGTTTTTTTTATATTTTAGACGAGAGCACTATGCGCCCAAACAGCCGAGACTGATATTGTAAGATTTTTGGTAGGAACACAATCTTTAAAATTTAGCAACAATCAAGTGCATTTAGTGGAACTTAATGAAGAAACAGGAAATTTGAAAACTCAAGTGTTCCAACATCCAGTAGGAGAAATTTGGTCCTTACAATCTTCTCCAACTGAACCTGATGTATTTATTACATGTTATAATAGTTTGAGTGGTAAATATAATCATCATATATTTAATTTCCTAAAGTTACAATTCCAGAATTCTTTTATTACTTAAACTAAAATAAACTAAAATAAATCAATTAAAATATTATTAATAGTTTTGTGATTTAAAATATATGTTTTTATAATTTAAGAAACTTTTGCTTTTTTTCAGAGGAAGGCACCTGTCAAATGAAAGGAGCTATTTGGAAATTTCCTGAGATGAAAGAATATACTAATGATATTTTGCAACTCAATAAACTAGCAGAAATCGATACAACTCCTTACGGAACTGATCTTAAAAGTATTGCTTATCATCCTACAGATAGTAAAAAGGTTGTTTCTGTGGTAGATAATAATTTTATCTTATGGGATTTGGTAAATAAAGGACCACAGGTACTATTTACTTCATTTACACAATTAAGATTAATCTATTAATATTCTACTTCAGATTCAAATCTGTTATTCTTATAAAACTAATATTTTTTAAATACCTTTATTCAGGTTGTAACATCAGGTACTTTAGCAGGCAAGGGTCAGCCACGATTTACGAATGGTAAATGGAATCCTCACAATGGTGCTAATCAGTTTGTAACATTGAATGAGAACAACGTTCGAGGATGGGATATTAGAAGTCCAGCCAATGCTGCGTGGTCCATTTTATCTGCGCATTCGCAAATCATCAGGTAAAAATAATGTAAAAATTAATCTTTAATGAAACTAAATCAATCGCTTTAATATTTGATTTATTCTTTTTTCAGGGATTTAGATTTTAATGTAAATCGTCAGTACTTTCTATCTACCTGTGGTGATGATGGATATATGAAGTTCTGGGACATTCGATTACCAACAGAACCAGTGCTATCACGCATGGAACACTCGCATTGGGTGTGGAACATAAGAATTAACCGTTTTCACGATCAGCTTGTTTTAACGTCCAGCAGTGATTCTAGAGTGATTTTATGCAGTATTGCATCTATTTCGTCTGAACCGTTTGGACATGTGGTGTCAGCAGAGGATGAGTCTTTGCAAAATGAAGAATCTTGTGGCAAAAAAAAGTAAATAAATATCATGAATAATATTTGGTGAACAGTTTACAAGCAGAATAAGAAAATGCATACATTTATGACATTTCAGATTAGAAGATGGCCTTGTAGGCAGATACGAAGAACATGAAGACAGTGTGTATGCAGTGGAATGGTCATCTGCCGATCCCTGGACATTTGCATCTCTCAGTTATGATGGTAGATTAGTTTAAATAAAGTGCCACGTAAATATAAATATCAAATACTTTT